GGATTACAAAAAAATCGATCAAGTATTACAAAAAAATCTATCATGGATTACAAAAAAATAAATAAATAATAAAAAAAAATAAATAAATAAATAAATAAATAAATAAATAAAAATAATAAATAAATCCGTACGGACTCGCCGATTCACTGTTCCGACTCGCCGATTCCGTACAGTGAATCGGCGAGTCACTGTACAGAATCGTCCGGTTCTCTCTAGAACCGGACGATTTCCGATTTTTCAGCCGATTCGATCCACTTTTGAGGATTATGATGATCACTTACTAAGTAGCCAAACTCATCAAACTATGTTAAATTCATTTCAGGGTAATTGCAGTCTCACAGTTGAATGCACAACAGGACCAGCTTGTGAAGAAGTTATAGTCATAACTAAATTCTCCTTTGTAACTTTTGTTTAAGTTTACCATTGTAAATTTTGTTCTATCAACATATATATCTAAACCTTCACGTTAATATTAGTTATGAGTAGACTGTGTACAGACTCTTAGAAATGGAAAATTGTTTTAGCACAATAAATGGTGAAGTTTAAGAATTCATTTTGTTAAGAATCGACTGTCATATCTCAAGGATTCTAATATTTTAAAACTTGAAGTGTGACACTTAATCTTTGACATTATCACCTGACGACACGTGTATAAGATAGCCATAGTGTGGGAAGCAAACTCCTCCAGGAGGACGACAAATTTTCCTGCAACCAACTACAAAATGTGCTAGGCAATAGGGCAAATCAAAGTTTGAATGACAGTATCTTAAGTGATATGCCTTATCCTATTTGTTTTCTTCTATACTTCGATATTTGTATTGTATCTTTAAATTTGGTCTATTTACCAATAAAAACTATAAATTCAATAGTAAAACGTCTTATCAAAGTCAAATAGACATGAATTGAGTGAGAAGAAGATGAAAAAAATGTGAAAAGAATATACATTTGGACTTTTGATACATCTTTTGATCTGAATTAGTCATGGGGTTGTATACTATGAAATCATTTATTTTGGCTATAAGACATCACAATCATTTTTAACCAAGAAAGTATATTACAATATTCAAAAAAATTTATTTTGGACTTTATGTCGGAACAGTGACATATCCTCAAGCACCTAACAGTCAATGGTGATTGTGACATCCTTGTAACAAAAATAAACGGTCTCATTCTAAACGTTCCCTATTTATTTTACTTTTTTTTAAACAGTTTTTCCTATTTATTATACTTGCAACTACATTGTCGAGTGAGAATGCCATAATCATTTGGAGAAACACAGAAGTCAGTTACATTTTACATTTTGTTGTAATTATTTGTACTTAAAACAAATCACAGTAGTTTTCTTATTACAAGCAATTTTGCAAGAAAGTTATGAATGGTAGATGAGAATGGGCAGAGATAGTAAGAGCAATGGGTGCCAAAATGTGATGTTAGAGTCTAGAGATTTTCATCGATTCACAAGATAATGAAAGATATATTGGGCAGTTATAAGTTGTTTTCCATTTAACAAACCTTTTGTTGTCTTAAAAACAAACATAAATAGAGCTTCTTTATTTGAAATTGTCATATAAGTTGATTTGCTTTATGGGGTAATTTCAAAAAGGAAAAAGAATTTGAAACCCTCATAACCCCAGATCTGATAATTTCACAAATGGATGGGATTTGGTTTTGAGATTTTTGAGCTTCCAATCTTATTTGTTTTTTTGTTGATCTTAAGGACAAGTAAAGATGACATGAAAATTTTCATCGAAAAACAAAAATCCCCCAAAGTTTTGGGCAGATGAACATGTGTTGAAAGGATTTTTAGACATCTAAAAACTTTCCTCATCTCTAATGAGTAATGGGTGAGGTTTGTATAAGTAGTCAACCCTAAAGAATTATGGTAAGGTGCATCTTAAAATCTTGTTGAAACGTGCATTTTCGGTGTTGAAACCTTAAAACTTATTTTTCATCTGCATTACAAATTTGAAAGTTTAAATAATGGTGCAGATCTAATAGATCTATGAATACTTTAAAATATTGACAGTTACCGTCCAGATAATGTGTTATAAGATGTACTATTTTTAATACTTGAAAATTTATTTATTTTCGTATCCATAGTAACAACACGATAGGTTTTTGAGGTACACCTTACTTACACACTATAGGTTTGAAACCTTATATAAACTTTTCCTTGAGTAATTTGACTACTGCATAAATGTGTTATGAGCGTGTCGAAAAGGGATTGTTGAGGTTCATCCATCAAAATTCCGCTGGAACGGCAAAGAACTACTTACCTTAATTTCTTAAGTGACATCAAATGTTTGAGAGGCATTTCACAAGCCTTTATTATATAAAGGGAAAACTTTATATGTGATCCCACCTGCATATAAAACATATGTAATCCCTTGGATCGAGTAGATTGGTAGAATATGATTCGTGTAGCCAACTCCAAATAATTAGGATAAGGCTCTGGTGATGATGATAATAAAGTTTTTTTGCAATAAATTTTAAAGCATGCATATATCGGTTCACATGATAAAAATAATAAAAAAATATTTTTGGCGATAGAAAATTATCAAGGGAAAATTACAAAAAACCCCCAAAACTATACTTTCTATGCAACTTACCTCAACCTGATTTTTTATCTCACTTTTTTTTCCAAAATATACTTTCTATGCAAATACCCCCAACCAAATAAAAAATAAAAAATGCCTAAACTGCCCTCCCTTACTTTTACTTTACCCACGCCTCTCTCCTCTATCCCACCAAAATAAGGGCCCCGACACTATGTAAGTGTGGTCCGGCAGTAGGGCCGGCACTATGTAAGAACGGTCCGGCAGTAGGGCTCCAATACCGTGTAAAGCGTGGTCGGCAGTAGGGCTTCGGCACTATATAAAGTGCAGTCCGACATTCGCAAAGGGCGGTCCGGCAGTAGATGTTATTGGATTCCAAGGCTTCAGCACTTGTAAAGGGCGGTCCAGCAGTACTCAGTTTCGGTCCGGTAGTTGTGTGCTCCGGCAATGTGCTCCTGGTGTCTAAAATCAACGTCAAATTTGGCCAAAATGATTTTTGTGTACGGGAAAGGCATTTCCATCTAAAAAAAATGAATTTTTTCCCTTGGGGGTATTTGCATACGAAGTTTGTTTTGGAGAAAAAAAGTGAGAAAAAATTAGGTTGGGGTTAGTTGCATAGAAAGTGTGG